GCTGAGTCTGACTTTGCAACTAATTGGCCGATAACGGTTATGGTCAACAAAGGTTTTCATTGTTCGACTGGGAAGATGCCACTTCATTTTAAGAAAACAATTACTTACAAAACAATTAGATAAATGGGAAGCAATCGATTGTACTATTGATATTGTAAGTAAGGCGTTTTCTTTGGCCTGGCATGAGCGATGTCTGGTTGAGAGCAAGCGGCTGCTGCTGCTGTACCTCTGGAGAGTGTGGAGAAACAGCCCAGAAAAGCGTTGTATGTCTTCACTGTCTCTGTGGGCTGGTTTGGAAAGAAATGGTCGCTCTATCGAGGCAAGGCAAGGCATGTTTATTTATATAGCACAATTCATGCTCAAGGCAACTCAAAGGGCTGAACAAAATAATCATAAATAATCATAGTATAAAAGAAAGATAACAAAAGATAAGATAAGATATGATAAGATAGACTTTATTGATCTCACACAGGATAAATTTACAAATAAAAAATAAAATAGAATCCCTCAGTTGTATGCACAGCTAAACAGAACTGTTTTGAACCTGGTTTTAAACATTGTCATTGAGGAGGCCTGTCTTACATTTTTAGGGAGATTGTTCCAAATTTTTGCAGCATGAATCTGAAATGCAGCCTCCCCATGTTTAGTTCTGACTCTGGGCACCAGCAGGAGTCCCATCCCTGTGCTCCTCAGGTTCTGGTTCATATGGGACTAACATGTCACAGCTGTACTTTGGTGCGAGGCCATGGAAAGACCTGTAACTAGCAGCGCTGCCTTGAAGTCTATTCTCTGAGCCACAGGAAGCCAGTGCAGGGACCTGAGGACTGGACTAATGTGATCGTACTTCCTGGTTCTAGTCAGGACTCGGGCTGCTGCATTTTGAATGTACTGCAGCTGAGTAAGTCCTTCTTCTGATGTTTAATTACCAAATGAAAGCCCTACATCAAAATTGATTAATTAATACAGCAATATTAATATCTATTTGGTCTGAGCTAGGGGTGGGCGATATGGCCTAAAATTCATATTGCGGTATAATTTGGTGTGTGAATTGTAGGTCTAGCAGGTTCTTGCATAAAATAGTCAAGATTGTTACTTATTTATATATTATAATCTAGTATATATATTTGTAGTATAGTTGTGAAACAAATGCTGTAACACATTATTTATGTATGTTACAGTAAAGACCATTTACTGTAAAAGCAAATAAAAAAGAAAGACATATATATTCATTTAAAATATAAAAAACTCAAATGTTGAAATCAAAGCCTGTAGCAGTTAGATATGGTCATTATTTATAGTGTCTGAGAGTTTTGTGCGTGTACATGGCTTCAGTAAAAGCTATTGTTCGTTTACAAAGCTGGTCTTGACATTTGTTGACACTTCCTGAGCGTTTTCTCTGCACTTGCAGTGAACTGGATGATTCAATGGATTTATCTGCATTAAAAAAGCACATTGGATTTGAACAATTGATGTAAATGGTCATTTTGGCACAATTAACTTTGTTTAACAAAGTAGCTTTCGTGAGCTATTGACTGCGGAGGTCCGAATCTGACGCTAACTTTCCCAAACTTCTGATGTGATGATGCTGCGGACATGGCACACGCATGGATCTATTTTGGCTCACGCTGGCGCTTCGAGTCTACACGATTGGCCTAAAGGTAGACTCTTAAACTGTGATTACTGTGTGTATTTACCTCTGCTGGGGCTGCTGTGACAACAATACAGAGACAGAAACACGGTGTGAATGCCGTGCTGTTGTTTGCCGTTTCCAGTGATGTCTGCTAGGCTAATGCTGCTAGGCTAAGGTGCAAGGCTAATGTGCTAGGCTAATGCTGCTAGGCTCATGCGCTAGGCTAATGCTGCTGAATGCCGGTTTGTTTTGATGCTCTCTGTTGGCGTCAGAGCCTGCGCAATTTGATGACATAATGACCTATCGCAATATGCCGGTATAACAAAAATCTCTACCGTGGGCCAAATTTATATCGCATACCGCTTATACCGTATATATCGCCCAGCCCTAGTCTGAGCTCTACGTCTCTGTCTCCGGGCCACTGTGGGCGCTCTCCCATGAATATGCGCACAGGGAGACAGCGCACACAGGGTATTAAAAATATGTCAGATTGTGCTTCTGTCTCCTCTATATGACACCCATAGATCATAAGTATATAGTTTCTACATTTAAATGACTTTTAAATATGGCTATAAAACCATGTACTAATCGCTGCGTTAGGCTTGTCCTTGGTCGAGCAACAAATTCATTAAATGTCCTCGTGCCTTCAATGCTATGACCCAGATGAAACATTGTCTTTCTAGGCTTGAAATATAGATCCCGGTCCTTGTAAGAACCGCCTGACCTGGAGGGGTGGACTAATCAAGTGCTGACATCACCCATAGCACCAGTCTGTTGTTGGCTTGTGCTACTCTGTCCATTGGTCGGTTGTGAGGGTTCTTATCTGGATTCACAAAGACAATCTAATAAAAAGATCATATGGGGCATTAAACTGTGTATTGGTGAATGTGCCACTTATGGTTGCAGAGCTAGAAAAGTTTACTCTCTAAGTAAATTAAGCCAAAGCGGGTTGTCGTGAGCACTTCCCGATCGGGCTTCATTGAAAAAGTAGGATATCATTGGCCATCTTCTATATAAAGTCTATTCATAGTCTATTTTCTGCGCTTCATGTTATGCAGATGTAATAAGTATATACTGTAAATGATCAAATACACAGCGTATATACGTAGAGATACAGTATCTGTGTGAATCCTCCATTGATTGGCGAGATTACTGTTGGCAACTGTGAGCATGCATTGTCTTGGAAATGTGTAGGATTCTGGACAATATTCAACATTGAGCATTGTGAAGCACACATTTGTCAAATATATATGACGACTGGATAAAGCACTACAGAGGAACTACTGAGCTACTAAGAGCCACATTTCAAAAAGTTTCATTAGGCTAGAGAACAATGTTAATTTGGAAAAAAAACTGTGCAGCATATTGTGAACAAAATGTAAAATAAACAGTCAATGACATTTCAATCAATCAATCAAATTTTATGTATAAAGCGCTTTTCATACAAAAAGTGTAACACAAAGTGCTTTACAGTTTAGTTAAAAACAATCCAACATGCCCAGCCCTAAACCCTCCTCCCCACAGACCCCCCAAAACATCATTTATAATTATATATACAACCACATGCGTATACACACACACACACACACACACACACACACACACACACACACACACACACACACACAGACACACACATACAAGTATAAAGTCACATCAGGTAAAATAGGTAAAACAATAAAAGAAATGGGGCTGGGAGCAGATGTAACCGGCTGAAGAAGCGCCATCCAAGGAGCCATCTGCACCAGGAGCAGAGAGCCGGCTGCAGCCACAGGCAACGACACAGGACCCAGAGGAGAGAGGGGCCCCAGACCCCACCAGGCCCAGGACTCAGACCCCATAGGACCCAGAGGAGAGAGGAGGCCCCAGACCCCCACCGGATCCAAGAGCCAGTTCTCCGAAGCCACAGCAGACCCCAGCTCTCAGTGCAGAGGGCTCCTCCAGAGGAAACACTGGGGAAACTAAAACAATACAATAATACAATAGAAAGTAGAACAATAAAATGAGACACTAAAAAGAAAAATGGCAGCTGCCTAATATTGATAATAACAATAGTAAATGGCTAGATACAATAAATAATTAAAAATAGTAAATAATAAAAAATAAATAAAAATAGAATGTGTCAAAAACATAAATAGATGTACTAAAAAGCAATAATAAATAATAAATACTAATCAAAAGCTACTCTAAAAAGGTGCGTCTTGAGCCTACTCTTAAAAATTTGTAAATATCCACAATATTAAAACTCTATCCAGACCCTGATTCTGCTCTTTGCATATTCCACCTTTGGAAAATTGTGTTTGCCATCAAATCAACAACTTCATTGATCATTTTAATACCAAACTTGGATAAAAAACGAATTTCCAAAACACAAAAATCCGTTCCTGACCTTGTTTATACATTTTTATGAGGTCACAGATGGTTGTTTGCCAAGTGTGGCTCTTCTCCCTGGAACTCAAAGAAAAAGTAATTTTCGTTTTCAGGCAGACAAAGGGCAGAGGCAGCTCTTGATGTGTGAAAAAAAAGTGAAGAGCTGGCACTTAACACCGTGTTCTAGCATCAGGAACACATCACTGCTCTTTTGAGACAAGTAGTAGTTTTCTCCTCATATTTGTGAGTACGTTTTCAATTTTGCATCGCTGCGCTTTCTGCAGAAATTGAGCAATTTTTCAAGGATTTCAATTAAAGGGACATATTATTTTTATTTTGAATGGCATGAAATTCATTTTGTCTGCAAATAATTGGTCAAAAAGTACACATATCCGGCCTTTTCTGAACAAAAAGCGGATTATTTATACTGTACAATAAATTGTCCACAATAGTTATGTTTGAGGTCCTCAGAGTGCAGAAGGAATCTTATGTGGGTTGCCAGTGAAACATCCATCCATCCAATCTCTTCCCCTCAATCTATTTCTGGGTCGCGGGGTGGCCGTCAGAGCTGCACCCAGTACACATAGCACCAGCCCCTCACTGATCCTCCTGCAGGTGGTGAGTCCAGGAGCTGACATCTTTCATTGGGGGCTTCAGGCAAAGTGGGGTTAAGTGTCTTGCCCAAGGACACAACGACAGCAGTCATCAGTGGGAGTCGTGAAGTAGGTCTTACGGTGGGCTCGAACCCACGACCTTCAGGCCCAAAGTCCAATGCTCTACCAACTGAGCCACTGTCTAGGTTAGGTGAAATATAGCAGGTTTTTTTTTCTCTGCTTGTTTTGGATTGCACCTGTAATCAGTGCTTAGGGGCTATACCGATGTGTCACAGGGAGGAAGATACTGACACCAATAGATAGACTGTAATTGTTTTTTGTTTTTGTTTTTAAACTAGAATCAATACAATTTAAAACCGCGTCAGCAGCGTATTGAGCGGTTTGAGCTACCAGCACCTATACTCCTCTGTATGCTCCTCTGTATGCTCCTCTGTGTGCTCCTCTGTATGCTCCTCTGTATGCTCCTCTGTATGCTCCTCTGTATGCTCCTCTGTATGCTCCTCTGTATGCACCTCTGTATGCTCCTCTGTATGCTCCTCTGTATGCTCCTCTGTATGCTCCTCTGTATGCTCCTCTGTATGCTCCTCTGTATGCTCCTCTGTGTGCTCCTCTGTGTGCTCCTCTGTGTGCTCCTCTGTATGCACCTCTGTATGCTCCTCTGTATGCTCCTCTGTATGCTCCTCTGTATGCTCCTCTGTATGCTCCTCTGTATGCTCCTCTGTATGCTCCTCTGTATGCTCCTCTGTATGCTACTGCAATGAGGCGATCGGGAAGTGACGAGGAGACCGGAGCGAAAGAGGCGGCCTGAGGACACCACAGTTGACTGGATCTGACTTTATGCAAATTCTGAGCACGCGACAGCCATTCAGGGATCAGCTTTGGACAGACGCATGTGAGGAATGGGCCAAGACACAACAACTGGTGCCGCTTCTGTTTCAGAGGACTGGAGGCCACTACAGGAGGCCGTTTCTTTAAAGTGACTCTATGTAACCCGTCTGATGGAAAGAGCACTGCTTTCTAAACCTGTACAACATAATTATACAGAACAAAATAAAAAAGAGTTTTTGAAAAGAGGTACTCAGTAACTCTTGGCACACATTGATTTTAAAGTACATTTAGGCATATACACGTTTTGTTCCATTTTAGTCTGCATTATGGAGCTTTTCTACCGTGGAATACCTTTTTGTACATTTTCCAGACATTATTTGATCTTTTTTGCCCGTGATCAAAGGTTGTAAGGGATATTTGTACAAGTCTCCCTCCCACACTTCAACGCATTGAATCCATGAATGTATTGACCCCACTGGTTACGTCTCTCCAACTTGTTTTGTGTTGGTAAATCTGTAGCTCAAACGTCGCATTCCCAATCATTTTTTGTTTTGCATGTAAGACTGTGTGTGGGAATAATTATTATTAGCTGCTTAAATCCAAAATGCTGCCTCCCCATGTTTAGTCATGACTCTGGGTACCAGCAGGAGGCCAGTCCCTGTGCTGCTTAGAGTCCAGATTGGTTCATATGGCACTAACATGTCTCGGCTGTGCTTTAGTACAAGCCCATGGAGACACTTGTACACCAGCTGAGCAGTTTAAAGTCTATTCTCCAAGCCCTAGGAGAATAATGGATTAGTAGCTAAAGAGGATTTATCTAATTAAGGTTGATACAAATTAGCTCGTAAAAAATATATCTTGAACCATCATTTAATTTATCAGGTAATCTGACATTCTATCTTTCACAACCTTATGTGTAGATATATAACAGTATCCAATTAACTCAGTCCTGTAGCCATCCTTTTGAAGTGTTCAACATTGAGCTCGTCTGCTATGATAACCAATCGTGCTTTACATGCCAATCTCTCCATTATGAGAGCAGGAGTCCATCTAGCACAGTAATATTTGGCCATTGTTTCTTCACCAAAATGTACATGGAATAGATCACACGACATGATATTGACACTGGTAATGTCCCTGCATGATTGCAACTTTGTTTTTGAAATTTTTCAGTTGTAAACGTGTACTATACTCAACTTGTTTTCTAGTCCTCCAGGATGCCTGCTGTTGTGAATTTGGCTATAAAAAATAAAATTGGACTGAATTGAATGGAAGTGTGAAGCGGACCCTGAGTACTGAGGGTTTGGAGGTAAACTTAGCTTTGTTGATGCCCCCGGTGTCTCCTGTTTGTAATCCAATGTAGTTTTTTTATCTGCAAATGGCAATACATTGATTCTGATTCTGAAGTAACAACTATTGTAACAATTTACCTACAAACCCTCTTAGCGACAGAATATGCCCGTGAACCAGGTTACAAAGCATCTGACCTCACTCTTTTGTTGGAATGGATGATTATCAAGGTATTTTGGGCAATATTGAGACCACTGAACCACCAAACCACCGACCCTTTTTCCCCCCTCTACAATTCTACAGTTATTTGGCCTGAATAAAAACCAGACCGAAATCCAGCAGCGGTCCTAGTACGCTTTTAATTGTACTCCCCTGTAATTTGATTATTGTCTGAATAATACTGAATCCGCTGCAATATTTGGAACAAACACATGTAACTTCCCATTATCAGCCAGTGGTGAGCTGGACTGTTCCCCGGATCACCACAGCTCCAAGGTGTTGTGGAAACATAACCCTCATATGCAACTATTTTGACTAGTTTACGTGTATTACCTTATTTGAATCCACAGATAATCTACAGTTTTTAGGGTAATGCAACTGACACCACAGCACTACAAATGAAATGTCCGTCTGTCCTCAAAACCATCTGCTGCACTCCCTCCATCTTCACTTCAACAACATATTTCGGAATTAAAGTACTGGTTTTCATCTAATCTCCTATAACGTAATCGCAATTAGGCCGAAGTCCTGTTTATCAGCACCAAATTCATACCTGGCCAAACGTTCCATATCCTTTGACGATTGTTCCTCCCCACCAAGATAAGAGCCTACGGTGCCTATTATCATCTCTGTAAATATTAACTGCCTCCGTCCCTCCCTCACCCCTCATACTGCTGCCATCCTTGTCAATACACTGGTGACACCAAGACGGGAGTTTTATATCTTCCTGCTCCATGATCTCCCTCAGAAACCATTCGTCACTCCAGTCCTGCAGCAGCTTCACTGGCTTCAGGTCCAACATAATCAGCTCAAGATGGTTCTATTCACATTTAAGTCCATTCATAAACTGGTAGAGATTTCAGTCATTCCAACCCCCAGCGCTGGAACTCTCTCCCACCTGACCTCTGCAATATAGAATCCCTCTCATTGGTCAAATTACGACTCAAAACTCATCTGTTCAGACAAGAATACCATACTCATACTTCCAGTTTGAATGAGGAGGCCGGGTGGGTAGCTCGCATGACATCTGTGTTTACATGCATTTGATTGCAGTGGGATGAAAAGTCTTAAGTTAGGACGGCGCACACACACGCACACGGAACAGAACGTCATGCGCACACGGAACAGAATTCATACATGCTTCCCCATTGAGCACTTGTTTTCATCCCCCGGGATCTAGGCACTGATGTTGGCATGCGGTTATTGTTGTTTGCTTAAGGTCCGGGTACTGTTGGTGCCTTAAATTAGCAATATGTAAGATTTTCATGTCAAGTCATCATTAAATGCCACTAATCTGTCAAAAGGCATTCATCTTTTCAAATACCTCTTTAACTGATCACAGTAGTTCAGCCGAGATGTTTCAAACTTAGTTTTACAGCCCCTAAATCTTGTTATTGTTTGCATTTCGAGGTTCCGCTCTCCACTGTTTTACAAATCAGAGAGTTTGTGATCCGGGTTGCCAGAACTCACCTCATTGAGCTAATCTCACTGGTAAGTAACAAGTAGCCGCAGAACTAAAAAATGTCTCGTTATGATTCACAAATCATTTATAATGAAACAAGTAATAAAGCAAGGATTTCTGTCGGGGCAAAAGGTGTTGGTTATGGATTTGTTGTTGACAAAATTCAGATGTTATGGTCCCATCTGGATTCGTCTGCATATCTGGCAACCTAAGTCAGGGAGAGTAGGAGAGAGCGCAGTACCACTTTTGGCCAGATTTCTACATTCCGCTCCTTTAAGGTCGAGGTACTGGTGAAAGCATGAGTTCAAGGTACTGTTGGTAGCATGAGGTCCAGAACAACTCCTTGCGAGGCTTAGATTTTGGGAAGTGTCTACTTTTAAACAGCTGCTTAATTGGCGTTGGTTGGCAGCGCTGTGTGATTGGCCGAGGGTGAAGGGCTGCAGCAGGTAGCCAACCGGATTGAATCTACGCAGACTTCGTTACTTGATCATGAATCAGATATGCATCATGACTCAAACTAAATTATGTGAAATCCCTGGTACATCACGCCTCAATAGTTGCTGTAAAAGTATAGCTTGGTTTGATAAATTGGTTAAAGAGTTTAAATTGTCAATGATTAACATTCACTACAAACATGACCACCTTATAAATAATGTTTGTGTTCCATGTATGCTAATCTCCAAAGCTTTCACACAGGTCAGTGCTTGCTGACCTGAAGTCCTATTGAAAGCAACAGAGATGACCCGGTGCATTAGCCTGGGGAGAGGCGCCAGCGGTAAACAGCAATTACTATGCACCGTCACAGGCTTAACCTGCCGCACAATTACCACTTGTCTGTTGATCCAAGCGCTATGCTTATTCATTAGTGTCTGATTTTAAAACACACGATTCAAAAGCTATTATTTATACACTGCTAAATGAGGCTTAATGATTAGTTGGAATCAGTGTTTCTCAAAACGTGGTACCCATGGTGTGTTCATTACAATCATTTGAAAGTTGGTGACACTTTTTGTGATATCTATCCATACAATGTGTTCAGTTAGAGATCAGTGAAATCATAAAGCTGTGTTACCTGCCCTATCCCTGTACTTATCATAATTTAGCAGTGAAAACATACTATACTGATGAACATTTAATGCAAAGAAATGTGGTGAGATTAGAGAACTCTTATTCGTTCCACAGTTGGAAAATGTCAATGTCACAGCGTAGTACAGTAGTAGTTACAGTAGTAAGAGCACACAGGGAGCACACAATATATAAAAATAATATAAAAGTAGGTGCTTCCTTTCTACTTAAATGTTTCATTATCAATAAGTCGATATACCGGTATCTCCAGTTTATCTTTGTATGTATAGTGCAAAGTTATATACATATAGGACAGGAAGATAAAGGGACATTCAGTGGACATTCTGAAATCTCAGTTTTGCACATTGCTCATGATTGCAGTATTGACTATTTACAGATGAATAATCAGACGACCCTAGAAACCAACCACTATATTTTAAAAGAAGAAGAGTGACCTTGTCCGAATAATCTATTTGGGGGTTAAATAAACAAGCACTGTCATGTGTAGCACATAACGTTATATATTTTATGTTTCTCTGATATAATTTACATTTAATTGCATTCCTTGTATTTCATCTCAGGGAAGGATGAGATGCTACCATACACATTTAAGATATTAAAAAAGTACAAAAGTCTAAAATGCAACAGTCTCAATACAATGATGAAAAGGTTTTGTCATCTTTTACAACAATCCCATGTGTATTTCATCCCACACCAAGACAGCCTGCAGTCATGTCTCCACTTGGAAAACTTGGTCATCAAAAGTTACAAAAGGTTTTTCTCAACATATTCACTTTTGAACCCTCGGTGCTTCTCAGAAATACTTAAAACAGAACTCCTATAATTCAAGTCGATTTAATTTCATGCCGGTCGCCCACAGCTCTTTGCAAATCCGGTGCTTGTAATTCTTCAGGTAACAAGTTTTAACCAATTTGTCCTGTATGACTCAATAGAACCTGCTTTTGTTTTCAGTACTTGAATGCAGGTTATTTCATCAAAATGTACCCAAGTTGAGATGGCAATATTTATCCCCACTGCTGTCAGACTGTACAATAAGTGACTTTAAGTCACTTGCACTAGGAATAAAAACCTGCACTACTATTGCCACTGTTTCTTTAATTGCCACTTTTTTATTGTACATAATATATCCTGAAAAGACTATATTTTTTGCCTTTAGCACGTTTTTGCCTTTAGCATGCACACTTCTGTCTTATCTTATCAATTCGTTTTTATTTTGTCCAAAGTTAGATAATTGTGGCACACTGCAAAAAAGTACAAAATATGAGTTAATAAATGCTTAAATCGAACAGTTTTTATCTTAATTTGAGTTGAGGCTAATGCTACTGGATTTTTGACGTCAGAGCCTGCTCTAGCTTCAGCCAATCAGCGCCGGGTAGGAAAATTACCCCAGAGTTTCTGTGGTGGAAACGCGACTAAGGTTTTGCTTATTTTCCATCACTTTTTGCAGTGCAGTTGTTTCACCTTTGTTTGAATTGGGACTTTGCTCGCTGTAACACATTCCCTGATGACATCCTCCATCTTCAAAGATAGAACCAGATGAAATCAATAATCAGACTGATTTGTAAAATATCCTTGGCTTTCCAGTGCTCCTCCTGACTAACAGGCCAAGCAAAAGCCAGTGGGCACCTTACTTATAGGCAAGGCAAGGCCTATTATTATTATTATTATTATTATTATTAATGGTCAATACAACAAAACATACTGTATATATGTATATTATTGTGTTTTGTTTATTTTTATTTTTATGTGTTGTTGTTTTGTTTTGTTTTTCTCTGTCCTTGTTATGGAAATGAAATGTAAAGAAAATATTCGTATATTATTTTAGGGTAGATATAACATCACCCTTAATCCATAGGGTCTTAGCCACAATGTGTATTAAGGTATAAGAAAAAATATTGTTTTACAGTTCGTTAGAGTTTATTCAGTGCTACAGCTGTGAAAGATATTGAGCAGCTCTAATTTGCAGCCTTCTGGTTTGGTCCACGGAGACTCCACTGAAGATGAATAGCTGCTAATGGAGCCAACGTTTCTCATCCTAAAAAGGCTGCATTCATCAAAAGACTGTAAAAATATGACTAGACTTCACTTTCATGTGGAGTACATCTTATTTTTGTCTGCGGCAGAATTGAATCGATTTGCAGGGATTGAAGGGATTATCAAACAAGTTTAATTACAATGATTAGAAAAAGGATTTAAAGGTAAAAAATGAATCCAAGACTACTATTGCTTTTGAAGTGTGTAGACTCACTTAAAAGTCTAATTGGTTATGCTGATATTGGCATAACCAATTTAATGGTTAGAGATTCACCAAACTGTTGGTTCTGCACCGACAAATCTCATTGGTTAAAACATTATTGCGTCGTTGTCGCTTGACTGACATAGATTGGTTGAAAACACTACCATAGAATGCTCTTCACCTCAGTAAGATATGTTTCCATTGTGGCGCCACCTGCAGGTGAAAGCCGTATCCTATCAGCCCTCTAAAGCCAAGCAGGGCAGGGTCTGGTTAGTACTGTGATGGGAGACCAAACCTTTTGCAAGACACTTCACCCACAAACCCTGTACTTTGAATCAGCCATTTTTACATTCATAAGAAATCCAAACTCTTCCAAATTATATAAATATTTGTGATTCAAACATTTGAAATTCATGGAAATATGAAGCCTTTAATTAAGCATTTAATAATTCATCGGTTTTATTTAGCGCTTTTTTGGACACTCAAAGACGCTTTACATGTGTAATTATTCATTCCATACACGGTGGTGATAAACTACTACTGTAGCCACAGCTGCCCTCTGGCTCAAAGGCCAATGCTCTACCAACTGAGCTACTGTCGCCTTTAACTAAATGCACTGAAAAGCCAAATGTTGGGATTCATATGCAGTCAGTGAATGTGAAGAGATACTGCAGGTTGACAGGAATAATTATTTATATTTACAATGGTGCAGGTTGTATACACACTTTTTTTCTTTTTTATTATTTTAACACTTAGTTCATTGCCAATAGGGTTTTAGGATTTTGGTTTTGAAATCTTATTGTAATATCATATTTTTCAAACAATCGCAGCTTTTGCGATAAAGAAAATGTCAGTTTCAGAGTGATGAATCATTATCACTATTGCTGCAGCAGTTACATTGAAATTAGGGATTATAGATATACAGTATATGCATAACTAGTGCACAAGCCCTTTTAGGGGGAGACGCTAATGTGAAAGCTTTATTACATGTAAAAAGCCCAGCTAAATGCTATAAATGCCATTATCCCAATTAGTCACGGCCTAATGGCTTCATGAGGCTTAATCGTTGGTCATGTGTTAGTACCATACGAAATGGGACAAAACTGATTCTTTTCTCGCTCTGTAAAGTTGTGTTTAGGTTGTCAGTCATTTAATTAAAATAATGCAACAGAGAAGTGCTTTTTTGGACACTCAAAGGCTCTTCAGGACATTATTAATTCTCTCTGTAGATAATAGGGAATGTGGGTGAAGTGTCTACC